CGGAGGCAGTATGCCCTCCGAAACGTTGGTTAACATCGACCAGACTACACAGCGCAACAACCCAGAAGACAGAAATCTTCATACTCATCGCCCTGATGACGGAGGCAGTATGGCCTCCGAAACGTTGGTTAACATCGACCAGACTACACAGCGCAACAACCCAGAAGACAGAAATCTTCACAATTCTTCACCATTACAAATATCACCTGATAAATGCTGTTTGAGGAAATGATCGCTGTTTACACTGAGTACCATACGATATCGATACAGAATGAAGAGTTACAGACTCTTGAAGCAGGGGAGATGTTACCATTGGGCTTAAAATGAGTAAATGTTAGCTTAAAGATCTGTAGATAAATGTCTGCAGTACCATATATATGCCACCACCGAGCGCTAACTTAAGCCAGATGCTTCCAATCCATATATTCACACTCTTATTTTCTTAGGTTCTGTCTTAATATTATCCTCCAGTCTATGACTTGAGTCTTCCAAGTGGTATTTTACCTTCAGAATTACAAACTAAAATTCTTCGATGCGTGCTACATGCCCCGTCCCATCTCCGCCCCCTTGATTTAATTATTCTAATAATAAATTGGCCAGAACCTGCCTTCAGAATACTCGAGCTGGGCATTGCGAACCCTGAACTGAGACCTGAGTCTATCTCAGTACCTGGGATAGCCCCGTGAAGTAGGCCACGACAACTTTCTTGTACCAAGTACCCTCAAAGACATCGTTCGTACATATCCGACGCCATGCAGTTAAGATTATGTTGATAAATAAACCAAGAAAGGGAATTCAGTGGTAGACTAATGGAAATCTGTCATCTTACGTCACCAGAAAAATGATCATTTAGACCGATCTCTTGGCTTCCTCTGGTCACAGCGTTAAAGTGTTTCTTATGTCCTTTTGTCGGACGTCCCTGACTGTTTCTATGAAGACAGCAGGTTCAGGGGTTGATTTGCACGTATTATTTCTAGAAATTTAATTTCGAATACATAAAAGATCTAACCCATGGAGCGACATAATTAAAGTACTTTATCGTTTTGTTTACGGATACAATTCACTATCTAGAAACGTTAAATGTTCTTACATAAAAGCATGAGGATGAATTACATCTTGAAATTAAAGCGCTTAAACCGCTCTGTAGATCAGTCCTGCTCTTTATCCAAGAGAGACACTTAGTAAAATTAAGATTTTGATTAATTTTTCTCCAGTAGAAAATAAAAAAAAACAGACATCGCTTTCAGATATCTCATCAGGAAAGAGTAATCGTAGCAGGACGGCTTTTAGCTCAGCCACAGGTATGAAAAATTAAGAGAAAATGTATTCATACGATACCTCAGTCTCAGAGTCGATTCCTCGAGCACAATGTATGTATACAAATTCATAATTTAAGCCAAACATTTAATGGGAATATCATAAATGTAATCTAAGAACCTGCTGCATCTTTTAACAGTGTTAACACAGAAGCCATTTCAACTCAGTGAACATCACTTAAACCTTGTGTCAAAATTCAATGCGTTTTGTATTCGGGAGATGTCATATTCGATTAACGGACAACCCTGAGTCACTGTCTGCGGTCACCCTGTCATTCGATGCTGTAGTCGATGAAATTGGTAAGATTCGATTACAGAAATCAAGAAACTGATTCCAAAAGGTATATTCCTTCTTGAGAATCTGACAGTGGCGTGTGATATATCGATTAATCGATCCCCTACTACTTTACAGAACCATAAGGTTCGTTATCGTGTTCAAAAGAGCCAGCCACTGGACTTTATTCTGAGCCAGATGAATCCAGTCCACTCTCATGCCATATTTCCTAAAAATCCATGTTAATAATAGGCATATCCTTAGCAGAAAAATCAATTATACGAACTTATTATACTGTGAGTGTTCAAAACGACTGTTGTATGTATTTTACAGAATAGGAAAATCATCAGGCAAGGATTTGATATCGTAGTGCAGTCTTCTGGGGCTACGAGGTGCGATCGGAAAGTTTCAAGACTGCGCCTATAATATTAAAAAAAACCCGTACACTTATCTCAGGTATTAAATTCATCCATC